GATATGGGGCCAAGGAATTAATCATCACCCTTGACCACCAACCCGTTCTATCGGGCAGCAATAGCCAGGCCGTCACTGTTTTTGTTCTCTGACCTCAACAAGTCCCTTGCTCAACTATTAAGAGTGTGGCTTTCTAAACTTTAAATTGTTTCCCAGGAGTTTCTACCTCAAAGTTATTAATAAAAACCATCTTAACCTGACCTTAAGTCATTATGTAAAGCTTTGTGTTGGCTATGATGCACACCGAAACCCGTGAACACATCTTGCAACATTAAGATTAAAAGAACTTGAGGCCGCCTAGCTTCTGGGACTCTGCTGTTTTCCTTATTCATTAACCTGAGTCTATGGAGCGCCTCGAGAGAAACGCCTAAGTCCTAGCTGCGGGACACTTTCCTGTTCTTTCCGATCCTCTGCCGCCCCTGCTTTATCAGGGCCGGGGACAACACCGTATCCTGCCTTTATCTTTATTAATTTTCCCACTAAACTAATCTCGATCATAATCCTTTCCTACATTTGTTAAAAACTCTTCATCATCCAAACCCTACTTAAACTATTATTATATAAAATCATTGCTTCAATTAAATAGTACATCTTGAGGAAATCATCTTCATAATAATCCACGGGTAAAAATGCCCAGCGGAATGAGATCTTTCCATGAGATAATCACACTACATTACAGACAGTGGGGATCCCCCCCCCCACACACACCCATTCACACCATGCCCGAGACCAGAGAAAAATGGCAATGGCAAACACATAAAGCCACAGCAGTAGCAAGAGACATTCTGGGGCTGAAGCCTCAGGGCCTTGCCTACCCAAGATTCACCCATCAGAACTTTGCTTCCTGGGCTGAACTCCTGAACTTCAATTGCCACCTTCTGCTCTTCTGACATGGGCCCCGGCACCCCCTTATGCTCCTTCTGCAAGGTATTTTGTTGTGGGGATTAGGAAAGCAACACCCCTGGTTTGTGGGAGTCTGCTCTCACTGGGCAAAGGAGGACAACAGAGAACAAACCAAAGTCAAGGTCAGGGAAGGCTCCTCAAGGATGTGCTGCAGAATTTGACACCTCAGAGGAAAAACAGGCATCAGCTGCGGGCAAAGGGGAAGGTAAGCCAGGGAGGGAATGCTGGACCTAGAGAGTAGTATTAGACAAGAACAAAGGCATGACAGAGAAAGGGAACCTTGTAACTGTGACCCAGAGTGGAACTTGTGGGGTAGGCTGAAACCTTTGGCTACTGGGAAGTGACCTTGAATTTTCCACGGAGGCTCAGATGGAAGTGCTCCCGTGACCCAGTGATCTGTGTGGATGGCTCTCACACACCCAGAAACAGCTTGTGCCCACTGACCTAGTGCTGCAAGGAAGCCACAAAGTGACCACCATTCCTACCCTGAGACTTGCTGCCCCAGTCACCCAGTCCTACCCCAGCCCCTACCTCTGCTCCAGACACTGTGACTTCACAACCCTGGAGCTTCTGCCTAATAGCCCAGCGCTATCAGAGGGCTGGTGTTGGTCCCCCATGAGGCCACTAGTCACAGCCAGGGCACTGCAATCCTTGCCCATCAGGAAGAGAATGAGATGGAGACAGGGGTGGGGTGTCTTCCTTCTTGCTTGCCCTTAACCATCTAGAGAATGAATAGCGGAAGTCTAAAAAACCACAGGTTTTTGAGGACAGACAGCCGTCACTATAATTAGCTGTGTTACAGACAAGCCGTGAGTTTCACTGGCTAAAGGAAAATCTTAACACTACTGTCTGCGTGGGGTTACAGGAACCAGTGGTAGAACATTTGTCCTGTGGCATTCTGCAGTGTCTCGGGGCAACAAGGACCAATCAAAAGTGTCACCAGTGCTTATCAATAAAATGACATCAGTAGAGGGACTGGGAATGTGGCTCAGTTGGTAGAGTGGTAGCTAGCACGCGCTTGTTGTTGTCCCAACAGTCCAGAGGTGGAGGAAGGAGGATTGCGGGTTCAAGGTCACCCTCAGCTTAAAAAAAAAAAAATCTGAGAACTCTTAATTTATCCAAACTGTGGTCATAAATGTCCTTTCTGGACACAGTTTCCTAATTTAAATGATGAATCTGAGGGCAGGGGATCTTGGGAGGACACACAAGGACATTTTTTTTGGTGGGGAAACCAGCCAGAGGCAGGCACGGGGGCACTCAAAGTAGTGAATGAAGACATCCCTGTCCCTACTGCCACCACTCAGTGGGCTTCCGGTTCTGAAAGGGCTGCCACTTTCGGATGGAAACGAGGCCAGAGGAGTTAAAACACCGAAATCTCCCCACCAAGGCCTCATCTCGCCCAGGAGGCCCTACCAAGATGGGCTGCTGGAGCGGAAGGCACAAATTCCACAACAGTCTGGACCTTCCAAATGTCTGCCCGCCCGGCCAAACTCAGGGCAACCTTTGGATCCAGCCAATTCCATGAAGACGCCTCTCTCGCAGGAGCTGGTGGGACCTGGGCTGAGCCAGGTGGGCGGGACCCAGACGGAGGGCCTGCTCTGTGGTCTTCTGCTTTTCCTGATCCACTTTCATGGGTTCTGTTTCACCTGATCAGCTGTCACCAATACCCAGGCAGGGAACAGAGTGGCGCCACGGGGGCAGTGTGACTACGGGAGTCAGACAGGCCAGGTTCTGAATGGAACCGAGTTTAAATCTTGCGCCCTCCAGCGGCATCAGCTCACCGGGCACTCAGAAGAGAATGACCGTATCTGTTGGGGGAGAGAAAATGAAAGGAAGGGAAGAGGGAGGAGGAAGTGGGCAAGGGGAGGGAAAGGGAAGAGATTAAGGGGAGGGAAAGGAAGGGAAGAAGTGGGGAAGGAGATTCGGTAGGGAAAGGAAGAGAAATTTCTGGATCCGACATTGCGATCATGCAGTAGAAGGAAGCGAATCAGAACATCTTCAGGCAGAATTCAGCACAGACGTCCCGCTCCGCATCTCAAGAGAACTAGGATGTGTTCACTCGGGACTTTCTAGACTCAACCCTACATCCTACAGAAGCAGCACTACTCTGCGTTGTCCGGTCCCAAGGCTTCCTGCCCCTCTCCAGCTCGGGTTCAGATGAAGTCGCCTGTGTTTTTTCTAGCCAGCGCCTAGTGTGGCTCAGTAACAAACCCCTTTATTTGAGAAATCCCTTCGCCGCAGGAGTTTTGGATGAACACAGCTGGGATTAATTTTAGAATAAAAGTGACCGTTCTTGTTAGAAAGTCGGAGCTGGCACTTTCTATACTGATTTGATTTTTCCAATTAAAACTTAAAAAAAAAAAAAAACCATGATCAGAGAGAAGAGGCTTTTAAAAGAAGTGAAAGACCTCCGGAGCTGGGAGACTCTCAGTCAAGTCTCTGGATAACCGACCCCCCAGGAACTCACGAGAGACCCTTGCTGCAATCACATGGTTTATTGACAGGACGGGGACCAGTGCATTGGGGCCAAAACTCATTTCCACACAGGGTAGAGAGTTTAACCTCGAGTAGCTGGGAGAAGGGGTATTTAAGGGAAGAAACCACAACCCAGTAATCCAAAGGGGGTAGGGAGGGCCTCATTGAAAAATTCCGAAAATACCAGTGATCATTGAAAATTTCAAAAATACCAGTAATAATCACAAGGGGGTAACCCCTGTTTCTCAAGATTATTCTCAAGATTATAATCTAATTTTATCTTCAGCTAGTTCCTGAAACACAGTCACTGAACCGGTTAATCTAGATTTCTGATTCTTCTCTCCCTGCTTAGATTTTTGGCTCTATTTTTTCTGCTGGATTTATGCAGGTCTTTTAGAAAACCCTGCCGGGGTGGTGACACAGACCAACTGTAATGGGAAAATTAAAATGTTGCGGGATCCCCAGCAGCTGCAGCGGCAGAAACGCTGCAGGTCCTCTGGCAGTGTCAGCAGGCCATGTGGTGGCAGGCAGCGTGTCCCGGGAGGAGCCAGTCCCAGCAAGCCACGAGGAGAGACGGACAGATGGGCACACCAGGAGACCACGCCACAGGTCTCCGAACGGGGGCAGGCAGCAGACCCCAGAGCAGCCAGTCCCAAGTAGGGATGCGCAGTTCCCATGCCGCAGGTCTCCGAAGGCAGCTAATCCCAGCAGGCCATGCAGAGTGAGATTGGATATTTATTCAGTGGGTTATAGAGGGGAAGAGGGAGAAGGCAAG